CGGTCGCCACTTAACCGCAGCTGGTCCTCCCTGTGAATGAGCTTGTGGTGGATATTCACTGCAGATCAGCCTCCTGACCCCAAGGGTTTGAGCGCCAGGGCAGGGAGAGAAGACAGATTGTGCAGCCTGTGCCCACTCACATGATGTGTCTGATGGCAACAAGTTCATGCCGGAGATGATGCTTGCGTGATGACCCTCCTGAGCTCTGCTGCCCCAGTCCTTACCCTTCCCTCCATCACAGCCTTGCAGAGAGCTGGGAGAGAGGACAGCTTGCAGCCCTTGGCAGAATCTCTGAACAAGAGCCTAGAGCTGCACAAAGCACACCAGTGATGCTTTAGGTAGGACTTGCACAGGCCTAGTGGGACACTGTGATGTCCAGCCAGGGAGCCAGAGAGGAGGGAGGACTCCTTCCAGCTGGTACATCTTGGCAGCAGCAGTGCCAGCCCCCGTCTATCTCAGGTCTGCCTGCCCAGCGCCTTGGCTGCGCACATCAGTGTCTGAAGCACCCTCTCAGTCCATTCCCTGCCTGAAGCAGCTGCCCCACCTCACACCTTGGATTGCTTGGCTTGGATCTGCCACCTAGCCTCCCTTGCAGCAACAGCCTGCTACTGCCACAGCACTTCCAGTATCTCCTCTCTACTTCCTGCTGCTTCTCTTCTCTTCTTCCCTGCTGCTTTCTGAGTCTCAACTGCAGTATCCTCAATTTTCTCCCTGTAGCCTTCGTTGAGGGTGTGAAACACTGGCACAGGTTGCCCAGAGAAGTGGTGGATGCAGCGTCCCTGGAGACATCCACGGCCAGGCTGGATGTGGTTCTGAGCAACCTGATCTAGCTGAAGATGTCCCGCTCACTGGAGGGGGGGCTGGACTAGATGAGCTTTGAAGGTCCCTTCCAACCCAACCCATTCTATGATTCTACGATTCCTGCTCAACAATGTATTCACTCTGCTGCTGTATTCGTGTGGCTAGACCTTCCCCAAGAGGGTGGTACAGCCCTGGGTTAGCCCACCAGGCAGATTTCTGTCCTTGGAAGTATGCAGGACATGGCTGGACAAAGCCATGGTAGCTTCGATCACATGGTGTGAACAGTCAAAGACATTGAGGTCCTTCCTCTGGATTCCTGAGGGAGGTTCTGTCAGTCTTCCCTTTTTAATCATCCCTGTGGAGAGTTGGTCATTTCAAAATGCTGCCCCTGATTTCAGTTACTGCAGTATTCTCAGTTCTGGTTTTTATACTCACTTCTGGTTTTTGTTGCCATGCACAAGCCTGTTTCCTCCTTCTGCTTGCTTTTCATTGCCCATGCTGGGTGCATGACCATAGGATGCATAAGGCCAAGAAGGCAGGAGAAGCCTGCCTGTCACATGCCTCTGTCAGAGGAACATATGCCCCTGGGAAAAGCTGTGCAGCTCCGTCCGCCTTGATTATAGAGGAGGGGATGGAGGGCTGCAGGAGCAGAATAACAAGGGTTTCCCTTGAAGAAGAACGTCTAGCCTTTGTGCATGTGCTTTTTCCACTGAACACCGTAAGATGAGACATTTTCCCAGGTTTGCAATGCAGTAAGGAGAGACCAAACATGCAGCAGCCAAAGCTGCCTTGTGTTTGGCCTACAGAGCTGCCTCATGGCTTAGGCAAGGTGTGCTGCAACCCTCCTCTACATGCTGTAGCAAAGTTCTCACGTGCCTGATTCTGCTGACCGAGGTCTTGTTCATTCCCCACTGTGTGCTCCAGTTTGCATGGGCACAGGAGATCCAACACATACTGCTGGCTTAGTGCACCCAGCCCTGTCTCGTGGCATGACTCTGTCACCTGAAAGGGCTGAGTTGTTGGCAGGAGTGAGTAGAGAGCACCACTGGAGAAGGGAAAACACAGGGGCAGCTTCCCCTGTCTGTTACTCACAAACAGACCCTTCACTGGACAGGGATGTTCTCCCAGTGAGCTGTTGTGTTGTGCTGTGTACCTGTCCGAAAATATGAACCCTTCTCTCTGGCTCACCTTACTCATGCCTGACGCTGCAGGCTTACACATCCTTGTCAAGGTAGTGGGGGTGCTTTCCCTGGATTAGGAGATTTACAGGCACGGCTCATCACACATAGTCAGCAAGGCTGCATGTCAGCTGAACAAGGCCATCATCTCCTCACTGGATAACATGACGTGGAGAGGGCTGGGAGTTATAGTAGTACGTGGTGGTGGCTGACATGGCTGGCAGCAGGAAGTGCAGGCAGTCAGCCCCACTGCAGTATGTCTGGCCATGCCAGTTACCCTCAAAGTCCAGGAAAAGGAACATGATGAATTAAATAGGTTTTATTGCAACTGTATTGATCTCTTTTTCTCCTCTTGTAGGTGATAAATGCTATTGAGCAGGACTATCGGCTGCCACCACCTATGGATTGTCCAAATGCCCTGCACCAGCTAATGCTTGACTGCTGGCAGAAAGATCGAAACCACAGACCCAAATTTGGGCAAATTGTCAACACCTTAGATAAAATGATCCGAAATCCTAACAGCCTGAAAGCCATGGCACCTCTTTCCTCTGGGTGTGTATTTCTGTCTTCCTCTTGTCCTATGGCTTCTATTTGCAGATCTGCTGTCCTTCGTGTCCTGGTGGGTATCATCTTTGCATCTCTCTAGGCTAGTTATTTTAGAGGCAGTTTGCCCTCTGATGTTTGGTCCTTTGTAGGAAGGGCATTAAAAGAAGTCAAGGTCACTCCAGTCTCTCTCCTTGGACAGGTTAGATCTGGTGAACACAGCTCACTGAGTTGGACAGTGACTCTAAGGAGCACCTTGGTTTCATGTACACATGATGCTGGATGAGTGTGCTTGCTTTGGTACTTGAATCTCACATGCAATGGAGGCAAGTGAAGCCTCATCAAGCAGTAAGGTGTTTTCCTGGAGTAGGGGGAGATACACCCAGAGAATGTATTTTCTCCCCTGTTGCAGCCATGATTTTAGAGCTGCATCCCATCATCTTTGAAGGCTCCTACCTCTCCTGTGCAAACTGATTCAGTAAGACTTCTCTAATGCTCTACACAATCCTTCCCTCAGTTGAATTAGACTGTTTTCTGATTGGTACTTCATAATATGGTGCAGTGCAGGCACTGTGAATGATGCTGGTCCAGATGTCTTCAGCTGATGGAGGGTGCAGAAGCACGTGTGCTTTTTCCTGTTTGTTCTGCTCACTCCCCATTTCTGTGTTTCAGGATGAACCTGCCCCTACTTGACCGCACAATCCCAGATTATACCAGCTTCAACACTGTGGATGAATGGCTGGATGCCATCAAGATGAGCCAGTACAAGGAGAGCTTTGCCAGTGCTGGCTTCACCACCTTTGATGTAGTATCTCAGATGACTGTAGAGTAAGTGCCCTGACTTCTATTCCCAAAGCACAAAGGAAAAATCTCAGCAGTTTGACAACAACTGGGTGTTACTGAATTAGTTTTTATTTTCCCATAATGTAGTTTCTATAAAATCTGTTGCTCTGTGGACCTACTTGTAGTCTACTCAGTGTCTGCAGACCTACTCTGCGCTGCAGTCTCTGTCTTGTCTCCGGACGGTGTGTCTGTCTGCTGCGCTGTATCTGCAGAATTCCTTTCCACACTATCATGCTGCATGTCCCCACTGTGAAAACAAAAACTCCACAAAAGTCTCCAAAACCCCAACATGGAATAAACAGAGAATTTAGGCCAGCATCAGACCATTCTCCAGCCACTCAAGAGCACTTTTAGACTCCGTAGTCCTTTTGGATGTATGACTTATTGGTGATGGCAACAAGCACACCGCAAACAAATCTCTGACTAAGAAAGGCCTCTGAAAGTCCAGATGGTTTCAAATTTGTTCTGAGTTGTCCTGCATTCACTAAAAACATCCCTTAGTGGCAAAATCTTAGCAAGTTCTTCAGAGAAAGCAGGCAGCTGAAATCCATTTGTGGTGGGTTTTGAAATCCCTTGGGGCTAGCTGGGACTTTGATGCCTCTGGTGAAAGATTCGTGGTTGGTTGCAGTTAGCTTTAGAAAACCTGCCTAAGAAAGCGCCAAGCATTAAAGCCATCTGTAAGTGCTACGATGTCTCTGCCTCGTAACCAGGAAGGTTTTTTTTCTTTTGGTCCCTAATTCCAGTCTTTAAATCTACCAATGAGTCAGAATCCACTCACGCAAACAGCCAAACTGTTTCTGGCTTTCTGTTCTTATTTGCTGCTGGGAAATGCACATGGCAATTCTGACTGTTCAGTACATCTGTGATACAGCCCCAAGGCCCTGGCAATGATGTTGGCACACTATAGGCTGTGTTCATACAACACAAAGTGGGTCCATAAAATCTGAAGGATGGGGAAAAAGAACTTTGACCAAACTAGGACATCACACACCACATCCCAACCTGCCTAAGTTTGTTTGCAGGCTGGGACACCTGGGCCAACAAAGTATCTGTGTCCAGGGCAGAAAGCTGAGGAAGCACAGGGCTGTGTGGGGCCACAGTCTTATTCTGGTTTACAGACATGAGTGAAGTCTTTGGTCCTTGTTCCCAATCAGAACAGAAGCTAAAGTCAAAGTGCCAGACTCATCCAAGAAGGAACATTCTCTAGCTCAGCACATCTGGCTGGGACAAGGTCTAAACCAAGCTCTGACGCATACAGGCTCATGTGCCACTTGTGCTAGAGGATTTTTTCTCACCTTTCTTTGGAGCTCCTTTTTACCCTTCTTTGCCTATTGACTTCCACTCTAAAACAGGCAAGGGTTTTGCCACACTTCTTCAAAATCTATTCTTAACACTCAAGGAAGGAGAAAAGGCAACTGAAAATCCTTACAGTCAGGTACAGGTCACATCTCATGAATGCCGTCTGTTCCCTGATCAGAAGAATTCATTACTGAGATTTATCCACCAAGGAGGAGATGAGTAACAAACAGCTGGAGTGACCAGCGGTAGGAACAATGCAGAGCCACTTTCATGCTCTTGGCACAACCTTTATTCTTCCCAGATGCCTAATTTCTATAAAAAATAGAAGCAGTGCCAAAATTAGATTGTTGTGATTTAGCAAAGAGGATAACTAGCAAAAGCTTATCACTTGATGGCCTCATCAGATCAAAGCAAAGTAGCAAGAACAACCATCATGTGCACGGGGGGAGTGAGATTCACACTGCTGACGATGTAGCACTTCCTGTTTGTGTGACCCCAGGGATGGAAAAAATGGATTACTGTGTCACAAAAAGAGATAATCTAAACATGCAAAGAAAGAAACAAAATAATACATGGGTAGGAAACCTTAAGGCAAATTCACTTACAAACTATGAGCAGAGCCTGTGGTATTTGGTTTCCTACTGTCTATTGAGGTTCCAGTACTCCAGGGATGCTGCACATAGGTAGCAATTGCAAAGCCAGGAAGAGTCAAAAAGAAAGAGTAGAGGTTTCACCAGGTTTGATTGTATTTGTTGCACTTATGGAATAAATCTGTCGAGACTTCAGTTCTCTACATACCATGCTCATATATGAACTTGTTCTGCTGTAGGAAAAGTGTGATATTTATACAGTGTTTGTTTCTTTTCCTCTGAAAGGGACATTCTGCGAGTTGGGGTCACTTTAGCAGGACACCAGAAGAAAATTCTGAACAGTATCCAGGTGATGAGAGCACAGATGAACCAAATTCAGTCTGTGGAGGTTTGATAGCTACGTGTCCTCCTACTCCTCTTCCTTGAGGCCCTGCTCCCCTTTGCCCCTGTATGTCTGAACTACAGTTCTTGAGTGTTCTACATGGACCAGAGACAGGCAGCTGCTCTGAGGATCATGGCAACAGGAAGAAATGCCCTATAATCAGCAGTGAGAAGTTGCTAAGAGCTTCTAGAATTTAAGCAATGGAAAAAGGGAACAAAAAAAGACAACTATTTTGAAAAAAAAAACAAAAACAAAACAAAAAACCAACAAACCACAAACTATGAAATATTTTTAAATAATAATAAAGCAATTGCATTCTTGAAAAGGGCTCCAAGACCAATGGGAGTCTCCAAAGGAAGAGAAGAGAGCAGCTTCATCTGTTTCCTCTTGCACAAGGCTGCTGCAGCTGGACCCAGCACCTCTGGAGCAATGAGACTTTTTCAAGAAGATGAATGCAAAGCAAGGTCACAAGAAGCACTTCTCTTTCTCGTGTGGGATGGTGGCTCTGGGAATGTCATGCAGTCAGCAGTCCTTCCCGAAAGCCCCTGTTAGTGAATCAAAGAGGAGAGAGAGCTGAAGCTCTTTGGTGCTGTGGAACCAAGTGCATCTCAGAAATTGATGGACTTCTTCAAAAGCTGAAGACTTTTTTAAAAAATAAAAAACAAACAAAAAAAAATACAAACCCCCCAAAAAAACCCAACAAAACAAAAAACCTGACACTAGAAGAGGCTGTTTCCAACAATTGAGAAGGAATCTGTAACACTTCAGGGGGTGGGGATGGGGAAAACCAATCCTTTTTACATCTCTTATTTTCTCTTGTCATGGAACAGTTTTGTGAGTGACAGTTTCCTAAAGGTCCGTCCATCCACCCTCCAGTGGCATCATTGTCTCATACATATCATATGCACAAGACTTTTAGTGATGTCCTCACTAGATGCCAATGATCTTTCCCCAGAAGACTTCCCAAGTACAGTATGTAGTAGTTTTTGATTACAAATGCTGATGTGTACCTTTATTTTTCGGTTGTCATTGTTGGGAGATTTGTCCTTTTACCTTCTTTTGTTAACACCAGATTGTGAGTTTGGGGCTGGAAATTTTTGGTTGGTTGGGGTTTTTTAATGAAAAATGACATCTCCAAGCATCATATCATTCAAGAACTTAAACCCCTTCCCTGTGGAAGGAAATTTGCAGCTTATTGACAATATGCCAGGAGAATTTATTTTTTTTTTTTAATATGCACATTTCCTCCCATTTGCTTGTTTGTTATTTTGCAATTTGTCGTGGCCCGACAGATGTTTCTAATGTTGGGTTTGCAGTTGTTTGCCAAGACAAAATGATCACCTACTCGATTCAGGGCTGCTGGTGCAGGGGTGAGCAGCATAACAGGGTTTGGGGAGGGAGCTGCAGGGAAGAGGGAAAGACAGGGGAGTGTGGGAGGGAATGATAACTCCACAGCTGGCTGTCAGAGCCCTTTGGAAACGAAATGTCTGACTGCTTAGAAAGGTGTCATATTGGTGTACAGACCACAGAAAGGAAGGGTAAGCCCCGACCTCTAATTGGAGCTCACAGCACATGGTTTCTTGGAACCTGAATTGTATTAGCTGCCAAGTTGTGGATGGTTCACTACAGTGATCAGACTCTGCGGTTGTGCTCTGTGTCCTTTGGGGAACCCAGTCCCTTCGTTACACGATGTGCTGGGGGCTCTGAAACAGCTTCAGACTCAGCCAGTTGCCTTGAGGAGAGCCTGGGACAGCAAAGACAAAAATTCTGATGCAGTATCCCAGGTCTCCAGAGGCAAAAGCTGAAAAGCTGAAAAGGTTGAAGCTGAATGATCAGTCAGTGATTTATAAGTAACTGAAATAAATACTTTAGTTACCAACCAGGTCTTTGGTATGTGTAAATGCCACCAACCAAGCGCAGGAGGGTGCAAATGAGAATAAGGCTTGTTCTCCTTGTTCAGCACCTTGTATCTTTTTAAACATGCCTACCACCACTCACCTTCCTCTGGCCACACGTGGCATATTTCTGCACATCTCCTGCCCATGGCCAGCATAGTTTGTGTTTACAAGCCCTTGTCTGCAACTGCCATTTGTAGGGTCCTCCACTTGTTTTCAGCAGCGTGGGGTGTTGAAGGCATGTTCATAGGGAGCTGGTTTGCTGTGTTTTCCAGGAGCTGCATCCAAGAGGAAGTGTGCTGTGGATGAAACTCCCAAACTGTCTAGACTTCTGTGGCCAGACATCATCTCCCTAGACTGCTTGTAAAATATGAGGCCATTTATAAAATACTTAGCATTTTCCACTTGCAGACCAGATCCAGCAGAGAAGAACTTGCGAGTGGCAGCAGACCATTCCCTACAAGTGAGAGTTATTTCTCTGCTTAGCTCTTGCAGTGTCCCAGTGTTTGGTGGACAGCGTCAGCAAGCAGGGGCTTTAACTGGAGGACTTTTCCCTCCAGCCCCTATTTATCTGAAATCTCTAGTGCAGTATTGTATTTTCATTTGTGTTTTCAGTATTTGCCTGTTCTTGCAGTCAAAAGTGCATCTGTAGTCATGTCAACTTCAGTAGCAGGTGCGTGCTGGGAACACAGGGGCATACTCTACACTCAGTGCACCTCCTCTGACAGGAATGCTGTTGCCCTACATCTCTTTCAGATGGCAGAATATGATAGAGAGTGAGGGGTCAGTGGACTATAGGCATGTTTATATGCAGGTGGCAGGTGGTGTCTGGACATAATCAGCTGCCTGTCCTATATCCAGCCTGGTTTAGCCTGTGTGTATAAAGAAGGGATGCTTTTAATGTTGTTGCATTTAAAAAGCTGTGCTCCTGGTCAGGAAATGGACTCAAATTTTAAAGACCAGCATGCAAAAATCGATGGTGTCAACTAAACCACACAAAGTGCTAGTGCTTGCAGAGGGCACACAGAGAAACAAGAAGCTGCTGCTTTTGCCCTGTCCAGTAGAAGTGTGGAGCAGCAGTGAGAACTGCTCGCATGGTCCATCTCTTCTCACATTGTAGCTTCTGTATTTTAACAAGGACCAGTTGCCAGTCTTTCCCAAGGGCATGTCTGAAGCTGTTTGGTGGCAGTCCAGGGTGAGGGAAGCATGGTGCTGTGGCAGGTTGTCTAGCCATAGCCAACCAGCTACTTGATGTACAAGAGAGCTTTGCAGGGAGAGCTGTCTGCCTAGAAAACTCACCAGCAAATTCCTATGGGGCAGCCATGTGGAAGGAGCACATGATGCCCTTCCGTTGTCCTTCCCAGACAATTCTTGACTGTTCTCTGCCATCCCTTACATTCCTGCAGACACAAAGGAGGAGCAATGGCCAGGCAGCATCACTTCAGAGCCAGTCATTATTAGGGCTTGGAAGGGCACTTCAGGTCTTCATTTGGAGACATTTTGTCTTAATGCACTGAATCTCCTCACTGGCTACCATTATACACATCTACCTACCAGACCCAACCCACTGTGAAGGATGGGACCATACTAAGCTCAGTGCCATAACTCACCAAAGCCGTGGCAGCTGTCTGCAGGACAGAGAAAGCACATCCTTGTCTCTTCTTCTGTCCAAAAATCACATGGTGTCAGTACTAAAAGTTAACACATTCCCGTCTGTTTATACCAGGTTTTGCTGTGACATCTGTCTGTACTTGTGTAGAACTAATGGAGATCTGGACCTAAAATGGACATGATCCATAAAACACTGCAGTTTTCTGCATCCCGCGAGCTCTCCTGGGAGCACAAGGAACCAGTTCCTGAAAGTACTTTGGTTGTAAATGCCTCTGGAGCATGCTTCAGTGGAGGGCAGAGTCACTGAAGTGACTTTAATGTATTTATCTAATGGGTATCAAATGTACTGCTATGAAATATGAGTCTAATGACAAAATTCAACTTCATTGGGAGACCGTGTAACAAGGGGAAAGGCACTTGCTAACATTAACACTGTGAAATAGTTGTGCATGTGCATGTGTGCATGTGTGGATACAAAAAATAACACAATGAGATTTTCAGGCAGCTTGCTGCAATCTTCACATTTCACCTCCACCTTTCAAGCTACCTCCTACACCTACCCTTCTCCTCTGTTTCCCACTGCCATCTGCTGCTGAGGGTTACCCATGTCTGGTGATGGCAGTGGGTCAGAGAGCTGAGCACGATCCTAGATTGAAAGTACTAAGTTGGCTGGCCAGTGATAAGTTCAAATCATGCAGAGCTTCATGGGGCAGAATGGAGAAAGCAAAGCACGTGTGGGAAGTAAAAAGTTAAAATATATTTAGTGGGTCATTGTCAACTGTTGGCCAGCAGCTCTTTACCTGGAATTAACAGCACAGGAGTGTGCCAGACAAAGGGAAAATCAAACTTGTATGAGGCACTGCCATGAGGAATCACTTGCTCTTCCTGACTGTGGGGACACAGAAACAGGGCAGTATGAGCTGCACATCCCGTCCCCAAATTACCCTCCCCAGTAAATCTCAGAACTACCTTTCATAAACATAATGGCGATCTGTGGTTTTCGGCAGCTGCGGAGCTGCTGACTCCTCCTGCAGTCTGCTGCAGTCTGGCTTCTCCATAGTATCCTCACTACTGAGCCGTAGCTTTCAGTGGCAGTAATTCATGCACAGGACTTCCATGTGATCCGGGTAAATATGGCTGTCACAGAGTTTACTGGTTATGCACTGTTAATTTAGTATTATAATTCAAAGGTGGAGTTTTAACCCACAACTCCACGATCAGTCATTATATATGAGAGTCATCTTGTTAGCATCGTTGAGTATGTACCAGTGTTAGCAAGAAGAGAACGATGTGCAGGGAAGCATTTACAATAATACCCTGTGTAGGCTGGGAAGAAAGCAGTGCTGTATGTTTATATAGCTCTGGCTTAGAAGGTCTGCCATAAAGAGGCTGCTGCCCAGCCACAATAGCAGATCTTGCTCTCTTCATTGACTACTTAAGCATTATCCATGTGCAGAGTTGCCTCCTGGTCTGGAATGTCATGAGCTAAGGAGAGAGGAAGCTTTATCAGTATTAGATGCTGGCTATGCTAATAATGCTTTTCCCACACCCCTTGAAGTTGTTTGCGTTGGTGTTAAAGGAAAGATTCTTTCCCAGTAATCATCCCATAGGCTGCAGATTACCAGTGGCCTGTAGAGAAAACCTCTTCGTGGGTTTGAGCAGTTGAGGAAATTTCTTGTTATATTTTCCAGGTGGATTTCTACAAAAC